TCCCACAAAAAGAAAAACATCTTTTGAAACTGTGCCCGTGACCAATGGACAATTACTAGACTTTAGTCCACCCTCAAATCAACAAAAGCCTGCGGCAGCCTGGCCACCTCTGGGCAATGCTGGGTGCCTTTGACTCTAGTCAGTGACTTGAGGTCCCAATAAAGGAGCCTTGCCTGTCTTGTTTGTAACATGACTCGGACTCATTTCTGCCGTTTCCACACTAGGAAGTCCTGCCATTCAATATTAGAATGAATCCTTGGCAACAGTGCCCACCACAACTAAAAAAATCAAGATCCCATTTAGCAGGTCTTAGTAATAATACTGTTTATACAACTGAAATTTCAAAGAATTTTTTCAAATATTTGTAAGTGGTTTTATTCCTTAACAGCCCTATTAAATTATTTGCTCACATGATTTTTCCATCATCAATACAACCAAGTTTTCCAGTGATTCCTCGGAAGGCCTGTGTGGTATGTTCAGGTTTGGCTGGCTATTATCTGGTTGTCCATACCTTACTCATCTCCTGGCTTGTGGGCACAGTGTGGCTTTTCTTCTCTGCCATGCCAGTGAGACCATATCACCAAGATCACCCCTCTACACCTTCTGCCCCTTGATTTTAGAAGTCCTTATGTTTCTTAATTTTCTCTCAAATTTAGGCCACCTGCTCTGAAATACCTTTCTTAAAGCACATTCATGTCCTGGGGAAGTCCCTGCTTGCCCATAAACATTCGATTGCATGTGCTAAATACTTATGCGATACTATTCAGTGTGACAGTTATGTGGGTTTCCGATCTTTTAAATTTTCCTTCAAGTTCTTAAACATCCCTGGTGCTGCCTCCTTTAGAATAAGCTGTCTGAGAGACCTCTGACTTGCTTTCACTTCCTCAGCTCCCACGCTCCCCTACTACACACTTCCACTTTGCTTCAAAACCCATTCTGGCTGTTTCCACAAATCCATTCTCACCCTTGGGCTTTGCCAATCATGAGTCTTATATCAGGGAATAAAGTCTGAAGCTTGGCCCCAAGTGCTTTCACCCCCAAACACAGAGGGACCAAGGCACTAAACTAGAAGGTGGCGGTGTCACCAGCAGACCTCATCCTTCTTCCTGGGTCAGCCTCATTAGGACCACCATCAGTCCCTTACCACAAAGGCATGAGCACAAACATGTCAGCAAGTAAGGCCAGGGCCCACTCCCTCACTTCCATAACAGAGAACACCTTCCAGTTCTATAGGCTTTCTCTTCTGAAATTATTATTTTAGCTTGATTTCTTTAAAAAGAAGTATATACTTCTTTTTAAAGAAGTATATATTTCTCTCTCTCTCTCTCTCTCTCTCTCTCTCTCTCTCTC